ACATAGTGAATATTATTATTAGTATAGATTCTATGTTCCTGGCACAAAATCAATGAAATATTCTTATTTTCTAAATAAGTTACTTCATTGTTTTCCTCCTTCTTCTTCTTTTTCAAATCAAGTGTCCTAAAGATCTACTTCTCCCTCTTTGGCACCTCTTCTTTGCTTCCTCCAGAGCCACAAAGCCATGGAAATTAGCACAGCAAAAGAAATAAAGAAAGGTAAGCATCCTTTCATGTCCCGGATGCAGGTCACCAGGAATCCTTTATCTCTAACTTCACATTCCCTGTTTGTCTTGGCTCTCATTGCTTGCTGTTCAAAGGCAGATCATATTTTGACCTCACGTTTATTACCTGTATAATTATACTAGTGAAGAGCCATTGATTCGGAATTTACCCACATGTTCCCAACAATTCTCAGATAGTAGAAACTACTACCAATCCTACCCAAACAAAGACACTTGACATTTCCCTAATGTATCACATTTGACCTACAAAACAGAGATTTGATCCTCCTCATCAGGAAGAGAGTTGGGTGACTATAAGGCAAGTATTCCATTATCCCGCCAGGCAGGGTACCTCATAACAGTCTATCTATTAGAAAGAGTGAAGAGTCATGGGATTGTTATAACTCTTTTCAACCTTGAAATATCTACACTCTTGGTTAAATTAAGGAGACTGCCGAATATATTTTGAAATTTATCTTAAGCGTAAGTTGAACTGGTTACTTACTTTTAGACTTTTTAGGAGAATTAATTTTGTTAGGGGAAGAAGCTTTGCCAGAAGATTTTAAATCTGCTTCAGCCTTGGCCTTAGCTATATCCTCAGCCATTTTAGATTCCTGGTAAATAGCCTCTTCTTTTATGATCCAATCTTGAATGGATTTTGCCACAAGTTCCAAATAACTTCTAAGAAAAGCAAAGAAGAGCAAGTGACAATTGAGTTACTATGAAAGAAAAGACACAAAACAAAGAGAAACAAGACTGTTACTGACTTTGCAAATGAACTTTTAAAATGTGAATTTTCTTTGGTTGTTTTTCAGTTTAGGCAAAACTGGGTGGACTAGAGAAACAAACTCATAGACACTCATATGTGAATAGGAAAGAGCTTTATATGCAAGAACAATTGCATATTGAGAAAACATCCCAGCCCAGTTCAGATCAAGTCCATAAACCCAATATTAGCCCATATGTCTGATACCAATCTATAAAGTCCTCTTCAGATTCACAAAACACATGCAATAACGCCAAATGCAGGAAGACCACAGGCCAGTGGGTGGAAAGTCTTGTGGATCCAGTGGCGTTGTAAGCATCTCAGCACTGGCAGGGTCCTCCACCTGGCTTCTCCGGCTCCCAGGGCTCTGGCTGCATCAGGGTAGGTCCATGTGGCTTCTCCACAGGGATGTCTCATAGGGAGTAAGTGTCCTGCCTCCAGCGAGCTGTAGTGCCTCCAAATGAGGTCATCAAGCTGGGATCTGAATGTCAGGTAAACTCTACCCCTTTACTCGTAAGTCTCAAATTGACAACAGATTATGTAACTACCACAGTCCTCATTCTGCAGCCTGTGATATGCTCATGTCTTCTGTCTCATGTAGCAAATATAATCAGCTTGAAGACACCAAGATGAATTTTGTAGAAAGCACAAGTATCTAGTGAGAAAAATATGTGACTTTCTACTCCCGTAAAGAGTGACAAACCTGGAAACCTACAGGGGTGGTTCTCACTGGTCCTATAACGGTCTCTAGGAGTCAGAATCAATCGATGGCAGTGAGTTTGGAGTTGGGTTTACATGAAACATGTTCAGCTTTCTTTACAATGGAAGAAATTTCAATTAAGAAATGAAATATTGTTTCCAACCATGTCAATAATTGAAACGTTTGATAAAACCAATAGTTTTATCCAATGAACGCTGTTGGTTGGAGAGTAATCTCTTTTGAAGGCAATTTTGTGATCCAGTAGGAACTCTCATAATTGACCATCAGCTAACCGACTCACTGGATTAACTAAAAACATTCCAGTTTTGCTATTAAACTTACTGGCCTTTTACATCCTAAATACTACTCTCCAAGCGACCTGGGCATCTAGTCTCACATAGTGAGATGTTGTTTGCTAATGTTGTTGTTAGGTGCTGTTGAGTCAGTCTCACTCATAGAAGAGGCGAGCCAGGCAGAGTGGCATACCGCACTCACTGATGAAACATACAACTTTTCTCTAGTTCTTTAACGCTTAACCCCCACCCCCTCATCATGACCCCAATTCTACCTTACAAATCCAGCTAGACCAGAGCATGTACACTGGTACAGATAAGAGCTGGAAACACGAGGAATACAGAACCTATAAACCCCTCAGGACCTGTGATGAGAGTAACAATACCAGGAGGGCAAAGGGAAGGTGGAGGGAGAAAGGAGGACCCTATCACAAGGATCTACATATACCCCCCTCCCAGGGAGATGGACAACAGAAAAGTGGGTAAAGGGAGACATCGGTCAGTGTAAGACATAAAAATATAATAATTTATAAATTATCAAGGGTTCATAAGGGAGGGAGAGGAAAATATGAGGAGTTGATACTAAGGACTCAAGTAGAGAGAAAATGATGATGCTAACATGTACAAATGTGCTTGACACAATGGATGGATGGATGGATTGTGATAAGAGCTGTATGAGCTCCTAATGAAATGATTAGACAAAAAAAACCTGCAAAGACTAGGCAATGATATATAAATGAGATGGTGATTTGAGAAGAAAATGTAACTTCTTTAGAATTATTGAAATTTTTTAATACTCTCAATTAAAAATTTTTAAGTTTATTTTATGTTTTTATTGTGCTAAATAAATATGTAACCATTTACATCTTTAACAATTTTCAAGTGTACAGTTCATTGATACTGATTATGTTCATCATGTTGTTCAACCATCAGCCTTAACCATTTCCCATCACTCTCTCTAGAAACTTTATGTTCCCTAAGTTGCTTCTTTTCTCTTCTTCCCTCTTGCCCATTGACTAACATTCATTAATAAAGGTTAGTTTCTATAAAAGAAAAAAAATAGAATTTAGCTGTCACCAAAGAACTATGTACTGAAGAAAATAATTTCTCAGGAATGAAGTTAACATGAAGGCATTTTCAATTAGCAAAAATGACTAATCATCAAACATTTTATCACTGCAAGAACTTCAAAAGCACCTATTCAAGAAGAAAGGAGACATAAATGGTAAGTGTTTTAATTTACAACAGCTTTGGGTGTAAACACAAAAGATGAGCCAGTCTAATTTATGGGATCACACATCAAGATAGAACTAAAGTCTCAGACTACCGTAATATAAACTGTAAGAGGGGTGATATGTGAAGTGAGAGCATATTGTGCGTCTATTATTTAGGAGGGAAAGAAAGGCATTTAGACTTGTTCAATTTAATAATGTTTGAAAGAAAAAATTAAAATGTATCATATCACTCCAATAGAAGTAAAAATAATGAAATTAAAGAAACAAGAAAGAAACAAAAACACATCCCCAAATGGAAAATTGGATGGTAGAAATAAATCAAAACATATAGATTCCATCATAACTAAGAAGCAAAACGTGTCACACAAAAAAAATCCAGCTGTATCTTTTTCATAAATGAATGCAAAAAATATTATCACATAAAATATTAAGAAAAACGGCTTTTAAATTCTGAAAATCTCACAAAAATATATAAAATTTGCGTAGATTATATCAGACATATCAATAGCAATATCAGACAAAATAAACTTGTAAGCAAAAAGCAATCCTAGAAATAAAGAGGCAATTGTATAATGGTAAATGTATATTGTATAATAGTAAATG